CAGAGTTCAGCTCAACTTGCTGATAGCACTGACACACATAAATGAGCTTCCTTTTGGTGCATGCACAAAACATGCATTTAGTTCATCACACAATTAGCCATTGTGAAAGAATGAGTAAATGATTAGAAAACATTCAGTATAATGATAGAGTTCAGTCTATTTAGCTTAACAAAGAGAAGGCTAAGGTGTGTCTTGATTAGTGTATAAATATCTGCATGGGGAACAAATATTTAATAATGGGGTCTTCAGTCTAACCGAGATAGGTAAACACGATCCAATGGCTTGAAGTTGATGTTAGACAAATTCAGACTGGAGATAAGGTGCAACTTTTTAATGGTGAGAATAATTAACCATTGGAACAGTTTACCAAGGGTCATTGTGGATTCTCCATCACAGACAATTTTAAAATAAAGATTGAATTTTTTTCTAAAAGACATGCTCTAAGAATTATATCAAGGAAGATTTATGGCCTGTGTTACACAGGAGATCAAACTAAATGATCAATGGTCCCTTCTGGTCTTGGAATTTGTGTCTATAAACTGTAGCTAGGCTAGGTTGCAAGAAATTATGGTGGGGATGTCATGCAGACAATGGGGAGGGTTGGACAATAATTATTTAGTGACAGTGAGATTCGAAAGTTTGAACAGTTACAAAACTTTGTCAACATCACATGAACATAAGAACGGTCATACTGGGTCATATCAATGGTCCATCTATCTCAGTATCCTGTCTTCTGGCAGTGACTAGTGAGGCTTCAGAGGAAATGAACAGAGCACATCAATTTTGAGTGATCCATCCCCGTGAGTTGTTTTTTGCGTTCTTAGTTTTAGTGTCCTTAGCTAGTTGCTATTCAGATTCTCCCTTGGCCTACCTTAGTATGCTTTTACACGTGACTTGCCAGAGTTTATGCTCCTTTCTATTTTCCTCACTAGGATTTGATTTCTATTTTTAAAAGAATGCCTTTTTGCCTCTAACCACCTTTTTACTCCGCTGTTTAGCCGTGGTACGGTATTTTGGTCTTTCTACTGTTTTTGGTTGGGAGGTTACATTTAGTTTGAGTCTGTATTATGGTGTTTTAAAATAGTCTCCAGGCAGTTTGCAGGCTTTTCACCCCTGTGACTGTTCCTTTTAATGTCTGTTTAATTAGTTTCCTCACTTTTGCCTAGTTCCCCTTTTGAAGTTAAGTGCTACTATGATGGGGTTTTTTTTTGTTTTTTTTGCCATTTTACCCCCTACAAGGATGTTAAATTTATTACGTTATGATGTCTATTACTGAACAGTTCACTTACAAGATGTAAACGTACCAGATCCTGCATTCCATTAGGACTTAATCAAGAATTGCCTCTGCCCTTGTGAGTTCCAGGACAAGCTGCTCTAAGAAGCAGTCTAGAAACTTTATCTCTGCATCCGTTCTTGAGGTGACACATACCAAGTCACTATGAGGATAGTTGAAATCCCCCATTATTATTGCATTTTCAGACTTTGTAGTCTCTCTAGTCTCCCTGAGCATTTCACAATCACCACCCTGGTCAGGTGCTTGGTAATATATTTCTACTGCTATACTCTTATTGTTCAAGCGTGGAATTTCCATCCATAGATTCTATGGTACAGTTTGATTCATTTAAGATTTTTACTTTGACTCTGCCTTCTTTCACATGTAGTGTCGCTCACCCCACCGGCACAACCTCCTCTAATTCCTGTATATTTTGTACTCTGGTATTAGTGCGTCCCATTGATTATCCTCATTCTACCAAGTTTCCTTGATGCCTGTTATATCAATATCCTCATTTAATGCCAGGCACTCTAGTTTACCCTCTTAGTATTTAGACTTGTGGCAGTTGTATTTTGTCAATGTTCAGTTGCTTGCCTTTATATGTACTATTTAAATGGGACTCTTTTACGTTTGACTGTTTCTCACTAGCTCCTACCTGTAGTTTATGAACGTCTTTCCTGACTTCTTTACTAGTCTATAATTAACCCATCCCTAAGGGATGTCTTCTCCCAAATCGTGTGCTTCCTACTCACCTTTCTGCTTTCCACCAGCCCTTAGATCCTCTGCAACCTTTTTAATTTTACATACAAGCCATCTGTTTCCATTTTGGTTTAGGTGGAGTCCATCCTTCTTGTATAGGTTCCTACTTTCCCAAAAGTAAATAGCCTTAAATCAAATTCTAATAAGTTTTCAAGCAGTGTCTTTCTTACTTTCTCCATCTCTGCATTTCAGTTATCGATGGAGATATTTAATCATCAGTTTGTGCATATATGGTATAATGGATGCTTGTCAACAAAAATCAAATCCTTGAATTCTAACTATAGTCTTATCTAAAGGTGTGTCCATGCAAAAGCATGGCCTTTTCAAATTTGGTACAGTGTATAAACATTAATAAAAAATTAGTAAATTTGACAGGTAGTATGAACTTTCTTTGGTTTGAGGCAGCTTTGGGAAAAATGAATTTTGTCATTACTAATTTTAGTACTCTAGTTTGAAGTGTTAACTTTGGTCATTTTGCCTTGTTCTCTCTGTTTCTCCCGTAACTATAATTTGTCAAAGGGAGATTGGAATTATGGAGAGAGGTTTGCAAGATGGGCACGTGACTGAATAATTTTTACAAATGCCTTTACCTTTTAACTTGATTTCTTTAAACTAATTTGTGATGTTAAGATATGTACTTGTCATTTCACTTAGATCCTCAATTAACTTTAGTCAGTGCTGTAAAATGGGTGAACAGACAATGCAAGCACAAGTATTGTATAGGAATTATAACTTTACCTTCCTCTCATAAGCAAACTAAAGCTCTTAATCTACGTGCATTGTTTTTAAGCTTACAATTTTTTTAAGAATGGTGTAGTGATACTTTGTTGATGAAAGGTGTATTTGAAGTGTGTAATGGCAAAAAGATTTGTAGATGTGAATCACTTCATGATGGATTTACTTTTATAATATCAATTTTAATAAGGACATCATGTATACACTAAATAAAAAATAGAGGTAAATGCATGACTGAAGTGCAGCCTTTTGTGTGTGTGTGTGTGTGGGGGGGGGTGTTTCTACAGGAGTCTTTCCTCCTCACCCCCAACTCATTCCTAGCATACACTATCTGCAAAAGAGGGCATGCCACTGAAAAATTGGCCTTTTTTTGTGTGGTATGGAGACAAGACCACAAACAATTTAGTATCAAATCTAGGGTTACCATATTTCAACAATCAAAAGAGAGGACGGGGGAAGCCCCGCCCTAGCCCCACCCCCATCCACTTCCTCCCACTTCCCGTCCTCTGACTGCCCCCCTCAGAGCCCCCAACCCCCCCACTCCTTGTCCCTTGACTGCCCCCTCCTGAGACCCCCCACCCTAACTGCCCCCACCATGTTCTCTGTCCAGACGGCGGAGGGGCAGAGGGTTGGTCCCACACCGCACAAGATGTGGCAGGATCCAGTTTTAAATTTACCCCCTGCCCTTGCTTCACTGAAGGGGGGAGGGGAGAGTTGCTCTTAACTTGAGTGGGGTACCAGGGAGTGGAAACCCCGACCCCCCCCCCCCCCCCCCCCCCCCGAAGTGACTGGTGCAACCCCTCCCGCTCCAGCTGGGGAGCTGCACCTAGTCCTAGGGGCTGCAGGGTCCGCCACTCCGGGAATCTCCCTCCCTCCTGCCGTGGCTGCGGGAGGCTCCTTTGTTCCGCTTGCAGTCTTGGCGGGCGCGATGCGGCAGCTGGAGGGGAGGGGAGGAAACCCCCCCGTTTCTCCCCCCCCCCCCCCCCCCCCCGCCCCCCCCCCTTTGTGAGGGCTCGGCCGTGACGCGCTGCCCTGCCCGAGCTGCAGCCGCACCGGAGAGTGTCCGAGGGCTGCAGGCAGGGCTGGAGCTGCCGGAGGATGAGTCGGAGCCAGCCCCGCACCAGCGGGCTGAGCAGGGAGTTGTCCCAGGAGAAGTTTCCCTGCAGGCTCCGCTCCGACCGGCAGAAAGCCGGGAGCCCGAGGCCGCCCATGCTGGCGGCGCCGCACGGAGGGAGGTTACGGGCTTGGGTGCCTAGGGAAACTTCTCCCGGGACAACTCCCCGCTCAGCCCGCTGGTGCGGGGCCGGCTCCGACTTGTCCTCCGGCAACCCTGTCGGCTCCAGCGCTGCCTTCAGCCCTCGGACACTCCCCGGCGCGGCTGCAGCTCGGGCAGGGCAGCGTGTCAGGGCCTTGGCACTCGCCATCCAGGGCTGGGGCCGGGGGGCACTGGATGGGTCCAGGCTCAAGGAGCGCCCAGCTGTGAGTGTGTCGCTGAGCTCAACAGAACCCCTAGCAGCTCCTCGGCGAAGAACCTCTCCGAGCCCTGCAGTCCCTGGGACGGGTGCTCCGGCAGGGTTACCATACGTCCATATGCCGGCCGGTCAGGAGGGATTTTTAAATATCGAAAAACCCGGACGTTTTTAGATATTTAAAAATTCCTCCCGGACGGCCATTTAACAACCAAAAAGCCGGACATGTCCTGGGAAATCCGGATGTATGGTAACCCTAATCAAATCTGTTGTTTGACCATGTTTTATGTTTTACCTGCACTCTGCAATTCTACCAATGTTTTGAGATTTCATTTTCTCCTCCCCCCCATTTTGTTTGTGTAAAACATATTTCATTGTGTATACTTTTTCTAATGTGCTAAAATGTAATGTGCTGAAAGGGAGAAACCAAGAAAAATATGGACTGTCTTATTCACCTTTACTTGATGACATTTATCTAAAAACATTTATAATTTTTGTAGAATCATAGAAGTGTAAGTCTGGAAGGGACCTCAATAGGATTTTGCAACAAAATATTGATAAGAAATTGCTGTGAAGATGTCATTAAATATGCATGTGTGTGTGGGGGGGGGAGAAGTAAAAAATACTGATAAGTTGGAATTCAGTTACCCCGCTTCAGTGGGCAGGAACTGTTACTTTGACAAACTTATTGCATTTGTGCATTTCTTATATGTACAATTATAGAAAAGGTTGGTTCATTTGACCTTTTGTTCTTTAATTTTCAGGCACAGGTACTTTTGGGCGGGTTCATCTGGTGAAAGAAAAAATGGCCAAACGTTACTTTGCCCTGAAAGTAATGAGCATTCCAGATGTCATTCGGCTAAAACAAGAACAACATGTACACAATGAGAAGTCAGTCTTGAAAGAGGTCAATCACCCATTTCTGATCAGATTGTAAGTCTTCCTTCACTTTTTCTTTGGTGTTTATTTTCTTTATTTTTTGGACCAGATACTCAGTAACAACGAACTTTGAATTTGCTTAAATAGTGTCCTTTAAGTCAGGAGTTCTCAACCTTTTTCTTTCTGAAGCCCCCCTCAACATGCTAGAAAATCTCCAGGGTGCGGAGGGGAGGAGGGGCTCCTGACCAGGGGTGGAAACTGTTGGGCATAGGTGTAGTTTGAGGAGGGGGGAGGAGCAGCAAGGGCTGGCAGGGCTGTGGCCAGCTCTACACAGCAGAGTCCAGGGAGGGAGCGCCACCTCCACGCCCGACTCACCTCAGCGGGCCACCCACATGTCTGGGGCTGTGTGCTGGTGGCTGCTCCCCGAGGGCTCTGCTGGCACCTCTGACCGGCTGCGTGAGCAGTCAAAGGGGGCTGGGAGCTGAGAAGCAGCCACAACACTGGGTACCAGCAGCAGATGGGGGAATGCCACGGCTGCCCACTACATGGCACCACCAGCCAGAGGAGCAGCTGCTCCGCACCACCTGGCTCTAACTTCCTGTCTAGGACCTGGCCGGTGGGGTGGAGTGAGGGCTGGGGGACTGGGGGAGAGGAGGAGTTGTGTGGGAGGGTGGAGCTGCCCCCAAGACGGCCCCACTCTGGGTAAGACACTGCAGTTCGGGGGCCCAACACCTTTGTGCCCCCTCAACTCTGCTCATGGGCTCAAGGTTTCTGCCCGGTTGGGGTTTCGGGCCGCACATTTTTACTATATTAATGGAGAGGGTGCGGGGTCTGGGAGGGAGTTTGAGTGCAGGAAGGGGGCTCCGGGCTGGGATGCTGGAGGGGGTGCGAGGTGCAGGCTCTGGCCGGGAGGTAGTTACCACAGGTGGCTCCCAGCCGGTGGCGCAGCAGGGTTCAGGCAGGCTGCCTGCATGCCGTGGCCTCGTGCCACTCCCAGAGCTGGCTGCGGCCAGCTGCTGCTGGTGCGTATCTGCATGCCCCTTGGGGGGAGGAGCGGGTCTCCGAGTGATGCCTGTACCCTCAGCTCCCATTGGCTGGTTTCTGGCCAATGGGAGCTGTGAAAATGGTGCTGGGGGAAGGGGCAGCGCATGCAGAGCAGCCTCCCCCCACTGCCAGGGGCGCGCAGAGCCATGCCAGCAGCAGCCAGCTGTTTCCGGGAGTGGCGTGGGGCCACGGCAGGCAGGCAGCCTGCCTGAGTGCCCTGCAGCGCCATGGGACTTTTAGCGGCTGAGAGAACACGAGGGGGCAGCCAAAGAGACTGGTGGGCCGGACAGAAACGTTAGTTGTACTGGATCCAGCCCGTGGGCCGTATTTTGCCCACCCCCTGCTTTAAAGTATGAAGTTTACAAGCTGTTCCCATTGTATTGCATTTCCCTTATCTGTGAAATTAGATGATTCTACCTTCTGGAGCACGTCCGCAGGATCCACCCGGCGCTGCTACAGTGCAGCTCTTTAGAGCACTCTACAATTTATGCCCCTTCAGTTTACATTGCCACAATATGTAGACAAGCCCTAAATGTTCACACATCCGGTAGTAACTTCCTCAGAACAGACGTGAGATAGGAAAAAAATTGTATTACTGCCTTTAATATACCTTTACTGTGGATAAAGCACATATGGGAGACTAACCTGCTACCTTTCATAGCATAATGATTCTCACTGTTATTTTAAATTGATTTATGGACCTCAAGTCCTCCAGGAATAGTGCAAATACATAATGTCTGAATGATGGATTTTTGTTTTAGCTGCAGATTTGTAAAATCACATGTATAGCCAGGCTGCTCCCAATGAGTACACACATGAATGCAGCTGAAGTCAGCATTAATCTATACTTGTTTGCCATCCATATCTGCCTCTTTCTGAAAGCATAATAGAATTCAGCATTGCTGTACTAATTCTACCCACTTCCAATCAAACTAGACCACTTCTTGGCTTCCTTTGATATATATGATGCGAGCAAAGCAATGAATCCAAATCAGGTGCAGGGGCTGACTGGAATTCCTTGAATCCATAAGCAGAACCAAAATGTGGTTTTCCAGAAACCAGGTCTGCTAGTGACATATGGGCTCAAATATTTACTTTAAAAGCATTAGACATTTGAGGTCAAAGAGCATAATTTAAACATTCAACCGCTAATTGATCATGGACGGTTGCAGCTGAAATAAGCGTCTCTTGCTTTTACACCAATACTGTTTGCTCTAGAGAAATTTTCAAACAGGGAAAAAATGATTCATTAAAGTGTTACAGCTGGCTCATTAGCATGGTGAGATGCCAGGACTTTTTGCGTCAGATGGAAAATAAGTATGGCAGAGCTAATGCATCTGGTCTCTCTGGGGTGAAATCAAACTTGTGCTACTGTTAGCAGGTGAATTATTCTCTCTTTTGCTTTTAGAGAGGTTGCGGGAGCTAAAGTTTTAAAGTGAGACTAGAAATGCTAATGGTGACTGGAGTTTGAGGAGCAGATGAGGATAGGTGACATTTTTTTAATAATTAAAAAAGCAATTTGTACATTAAAATGTGTCCCTGTCTCTCTCCCCTCTTTGTACGTCACTTGTCTTAAAATGTACACTAGGGGGTGAGGACAGCAATTTTGTATGTTCTTTCTGTTGGAATTCTGCACCATTGCGCAATGCAGAATTCATGTTCCCTGCAGAATTTTATTTTTCCACACAGAATTTGGTATTCCCTTTTCTCCCCCACTCCCACCCAGGCCTAGCATCGTCAGCTGAGACTCCTGCAGGCAGTCCCGGGTTGATTATATTGTTGTTTTGATAAAATATGCTGAATTTTGCGGAATTTTAAAACACTGTGTGCAGAATTTTTAATGTTTTGGCACAGAATTCCCCCAGCAGTAGTCTGTTTGCACAGTGTCTAGCACAATAGGGACCTAATCTTGATTGGGATCTCTGAATGTTCCTGCAATATATAAAGTTAGTAGAAATATCCCATGGTAGTTTGGAGTGAGGATACAGCGATCCTTGTACAAGGAAATGGATGTAAGCAAATGTATTTAACCTAGGGAGAGAGCAGAATTTGGTCTTCTCTTAAAACAAAAGAAAAAGGTAAAACTTGCAGCCCTCACTTTCATAATATGGTGGAACGGGATATGAATATTAGTTATTTACACAAAATACGTACTGTACAGTGATGACTGGCTGTACCATCTCTCAGATCTGAAATGTAACGGAACTTGGTGTGGATATACATTTAAATACGCTTCTTGAATAATCGTGCTCAGAGGCAAAATAATTTTTAGTAGCCAATTTCATTATGGAAAGAAGAATGGAGGGTTCTGTGGGTGTGTGTCTGTGCACGTGCAAGATGTTTACTTGATGGATGAAAGAGTAGCAGTGAGGTGATACTCTTTTCCATTCAACACACACCTACTTTTGTTGTTCCTTCTTGTTCCTGAACTCAACTTGTACAAGTGTCTGTCTAAAATTTCACCTGGATATGTGCTTGATTGCACAGTTAACAATTTGTGCTTCTGAGTCTCCATTTACATGCTCAAATGTGACAGTTGTTTAGGAAATGCTTGTTTTATACTGTTGCAACAGCCAGGCAGTGTAATCTTGTTTGCTATCTTCAGTGGGTATATTAAGATAAAAACCAGTCTTACAGAAACAAGGATGTGTCCTAAGTGAATTCAACTGTAACTTTGTGTGTTTATGGCTTTCAGAAAAATAATAATTAGGAATAAAATTGAGCCCTATGTTTGATCGTCCCATTAATAGCAACTAGTTGCTTGGTTGTAAGAATGCAGAATAGGAGTCTTAAGTTGGCCCTGTAAACATAAGATCCAAGTGCTAACTTCATATTAAAATAATGCATGTTGGCTTCGCCTCAGATTTTGTAAGCAAATTGAGTTATTAATGCTGCATTCATTTAAAGGAAAAATACACCTCTACCTCGATATAACGCTATCCTCAGGAGCCAAAACATCTTACCGCGTTATAGGTGAAACCACGTTATATTGAACTTTCTTTGATCCACTGGAGTGTGCAACCCCGCCCCCCCGGAGCACTGCTTTACCGCGTTCTATCCAAATTCGTGTTATATAGGGTAGTGTTATATCGAGGTAGAGGTGTAACTTTTTAAGTGAAAATAAACTCCTTTAAGTCTTACAGTATGTACTGTTTTTTCATTGTCAGTGACATCTTAATTTAAAAACTAATAAGAATACTCCCAGCCTTACTAGATTATGGATTAGCTGTTGGCACTTATTTTAATTTTTGCTAAATGATTTAAGAGATGCCTACAAAAAACAATAAACTGGTGTTCACATCCAGGTCTTCCATTTTTGGCCACATTTTGCCTCACGTCACAGTACTTTTTTTAAAAGACGAGTTGTCTGGTTTTAAGATTTTCTGCTCCTCTGAGCTACTCTTCTGGTCTATACAGCTGTTCTGCTTGATTTCTTAAAATTAGGGCTGTCAAGTGATTAAAAAAAAAATCACGATTAATTGTGCGATTAAACAATAATAGAATACCATTTATTTAAATATTGTGGATGTTTTCTACATATTCAAATATATTGATTTCAATTAAAACACACAGAATACAAAGTGTACAGTGCACACTTTATATTTTTTATTACAAATATTTGCACTGTAAAAGACAAAAATAGTATTTTCCAATTCATCTAATACAAATACTGTAATGCAATCTCTTTATCATGAAAGTTGAATTTACAAATGTAGAATTATGTACAAAAACCCCTGTATTCCAAAATAAAACAATATAAAACTTTAGACCCTACAAGTCCAATCAGTCCTACTTCTTGTTCAGCCAATCACTCAGACAAACAAGTTTGTTTACATTTGCAGAAGATAATGCTGCCTGCTTCTTGTTTACAATGTCATCTGAAAGTGAGAACAGGAGTTTGCATGGCACTGTTGTATCACAAGATATTTACATGCCAGATGCTCTAAAGATTCATATGTCCCTTCATGCTTAACCACCATTCCAGAGGACATGCATCCATGCTGATGACGGGTTCTGCTCGATAACGATCCAAAGCAATGTGGACCGACGCATGTTCGTTTTAATCATCGGAGTCAGATGCCACAAGCAGAAGATTGATTTTCTTTTTTGGTGGTTCAGGTTCTGTAGTTTCTGCATCAGAGTGTTGCTCTTTTAAGACTTCTGAAAGCATGCTCCACACCTCGTTCCTCTCAGATTTTGGAAGGCACTTCAGATTCTTAAATCTTGGGTCAAGTGCTGTAGCTATCTTTAGAAATTTCACATTGGTATCTTAGCATTTTGTCAAATCTGCAGTGAAAGTGTTCTTAAAATGAACAACGTGTGCTGGGTCATCATCCGAGACTGCTATAATATGAAATATATGGCAGAATGTGGGTAAAACAGAGCAGGAGACATATAATTCTCCCCCAAGGAGTTCAGTCACAAATTTAATTAATGCATTATTTTTTTAAATGAGCGTCATTCTTTTATGGGCAGTATTATCTCCCGTAAATGTAAACAAACTTGTTTCTCTTAGCGATTGGCTGAAAAAGAAATAGAACTGAGTGGACTTGTAGGCTCCAAAGTTTTATGTTGTTTTGTTTTTGAGTGGTTATGTAACCAAAAAAACCTAATTTGTAAGTTGCACTTTCATGATAAAGAAATTGCACTACAGTACTTGTATGAGGGGAATTGAAAAATACTATTTCTTTTATCATTTTTACAGTACATATATTTGTAATAAAAATATGAAGTGACCACTGTACATGTATTCTGTGTTGTAATTGAAATCAATATATTTGAAATTATAGAAAAAAAATCCAAAATATTTAATAAAATTAAATTGGTATTCTATTGTTTAACAGTGCGATTAATCATGATTAATTTTTTTGAGTTTATCACATGAGTTAACTGTGATTAATTGACAGCCCTACTTAAAATGCATTTCTCAACTCAGAGTATGCATGTTTGAGTTATTCAGCGTGTTCCATAGTGCAATTCTTCTGTGACTGGGTGTGGGAAGAGTTTATCAGGGATTTTTATTGGCAGAACAATGTAATTAGGATTTTACTTTATTTAAGAAAAAGATGTCAATGACAGCCCTTCACATCCTTGTTAGAAAAAGACATTAACATCATTAACAACATCAAGCATGGCCCAGAGTTCTGTGCCCTGTTCCCCCAGGCTAACCTGTGCTGGGGCTGAGAATTTGGGAGCTGTACTGGTTTAGTTCTCATTGTCTCAATTTTGCCTTTTGCTAGGCTTTCTCAGGTTCCTGTATCAGGGAATGAAGCCTTACTTTTGTCAAGACTCCCACAGACTTAGGAAGAACCAGTTTAGCTACTATCCTGCTCTTCCTGGGGCTCCCGCAGCCTGTCTGGGAAGCAGGTAATGGTGCAGCAAAAGCTATTTTTTAGAGTTCAAAAATTGGAATATTTTTGAAGGGAAAATACCCTTTTCACACAACTGAAAAGTTTTTTCCGCATAGGGAATAATTAAATGAGGGCTTCTTTGCTGCCTGTCTAGAAGGCATTTGTCAATTTTACTTTCCCCCTGTGAAATTGACAAAAGCTTTTTATCTTGGTAGCGCTGCTGTGGTGGTGCACCCTGGTTCTACCTCTCAGCCCTACACTCCTCGTCCTCCATCCAGTTTTAAGGCCAGTGAGGCTGAGTGCCCAAGCTCTCTGCCTCTCTGGCCCCAGAGGTAGGGTGTGGAGACTGAGAGGCAGAGCTCTCTGAATTTTTTTTATGGGTAGAAATCTCAATTTTCCAGCCAACTCTGCTTTTCTCCTCCTTTCCCTACAATGCAGTGGGCAGGGGGTGGGGTGTTGCTGATGCAGCAGAAGCAGTAAGGGGACAATTCAGTTTAGAAATTGCAGGATGTGTCTCAGAACACCTGTTCAGTTGATACTACAATACAGACTTTTTTCTTAATAGATTTGCCCTTTAGGCCGACAGGTTGGATACAAGTGTGACATTTGGTCTGTTCGCTATGGGTGGAAAAAAATGTATCTTCCCTTTCTAGCATATGCTAGATAATGATCTTGTGTTCAGTACAAAACTTTTTGTGAGACAGCAGTTCTAATTTATACTTGCTATTTTATTAATTCTTTTAGTCTAATGCCATGAGCCCATGATTGAGGAGTGTGGCCCCATTAGAATCATAGAATCATAGAATATCCGGGTTGGAAGGGACCTCAGGAGGTCATCTAGTCCAACCCCCTGCTCAATGCAGGACCAATTCCCAACTGAATCATCCCAGCCAGGGCTTTGTCAAGCTGGGCCTTAAAAACTTCCAAGGAAGGAGATTCCACCACCTCCCTAGGTAAAGCATTCCAGTGCTTCACCACCCTCCTAGTGAAATAGTGTTTCCTAATATCCAACCTAGACCTCCCCCACTGCAACTTGAGACCATTGCTCCTTGTTCTGTCATCTGCCACTACTGAGAACAGCCGAGCTCCATCCTCTTTGGAACCCCCCCTCAGGTAGTTGAAAGCAGCTATCAAATCCCCCCTCATTCTTCTCTTCTGGAGACTAAACAATCCCAGTTCTCTCAGCCTCTCCACATAAGTCATGTGCTCCAGACCCCTAATCATTTTTGTTGCCCTCCGCTGGACTCTTTCCAATATTTCCACATTGTGCTAAGCATGCTTATGTAATGAATGTGTGTGACACACACACACACGTACGTGCACACACTCTCTCTCGGCCTTCACTATTAGTTGTTGACTTGTACTTAATAGTAGCCAGCATGTTTTGATCAACCTCTCTCTTCCTTCTGACTTAAATGAGCTGGAATGTATTTCCTTAATGTTGCATAGCTTGTTTTTCACTGCTGGGTGTAGTAGTACTACTGAAAAAGCAGTATTTTTCAACTGAAAGAGGAAAGAGAATCTGTAGGATGGGGATACTTATTATCAGCTTAATATCTGGGTGCAGATGTTTCTTTATAGTAGTGCTTAGAGGCCCTAGTCAAGACTGAGGATTTTGTTAAAGCTAATCCCTTTGTTGTCATTGGTGCAGCAGTTGCACATCAAAACTATGATGTGGATGTTGTTAAGTCAAGATGGTCTAATGGTTAAGTCATAATACGGGGTGTGAAAAGATGGGAGTTCTGTTTCTGGCTATGCCACAAACTTCTGGCAAGCCATTAAACTTCTCTTCCCAAATTTCCCTAAAGTTTAAAATGAGGACGATAATCCTTTACTAGCTCACATTTCTGTTTGTGAAATGTCCTTTTGAGAACCTTGAATGGAAGACACTATAGAAGTGCAAAATGCTGAGATATGAAACTTCTATTAAGACATGACTTAAATAATAAAAAAAATGGTTTGGCTATAGTGTATTTTTCTCCATTTAGACACCTTGTCATAAGCAGTTTTCCAAATTGAGATCACTGTTTATTTTTCATTTGGGCTTCACTATGTTGAGTACAATATAGGAACACAGGAATTGTCTTAATAGATAAAGAACAGTGGCTCATTGTGTCTGTAATAGTGGCCTCTATAAGATGCTTCAGAGGAATGTTCAAGAAACCCTATGACAGACAATTATGGGGAAAACCTACCTACAGAGGGAAGGGGGGAGGGATAGCTCAGTGGTTTGAGCATTGGCCTGCTAAACCCAGGGTTGTGAGTTCAATCTTCAATGGAGCCACTGAGGGATCTGGGACAAAATCAGTACTTGGTCCTGCTAGTGAAGGCAGGGGGCTGGACTTGATGACCTTTCAAGGTCCCTTCCAGTTCTAGGAGATAGGATATATTAATTTATTTATTCAGTGGGCGCTGTCCAGGGTTCTCTGCTCGGTGTCCCCGTCAGGTTCCCTTCTTTTGACCCTTTGACCGCACTCCTGTCCCTGTTTTTACATTAGTTGTCCCCCGTAATCATTTGGGTTTTAGGCCCTGTGGGTCCTCCCCTTAGGCTGGGGGGATCCTTTAGCAGTGGGCGGGCTTTGCCCGCCCACTTCCCGGAACCCAATATGTACAAAGGGAAGCTTTATTTCTAAGCTTGGCCAGTTAGTTGTTGGCTTGTACCGTGAAGAGTGAAAGTTTATATCTTGTCTAAGGCAGGGGTGGGTGTCTCTCCCCTACCTAATTTAACTCTGGGAAATCTTATCCATATATCCATCAAATATACCTAAAAATCCTACTGAACTCTTGGTCTTGGAGATATCTTGTGCAGTGAAATCCGCAAGTTAGCTATGCATTATTTTAGAATACTTCTTTCCTTGAGACAATGGAACAACACCAGTTTACAGAATATCTTCTTTGTTTTACAAATGATTTATTGGCTCAATATTTAATAAAGACTTTTTTGTTACAGATTTTGGACCTACCATGATGAACGCTTTTTATACATGTTAATGGAATATGTACCTGGAGGAGAACTTTTTAGTTATCTGCGTAACATGGGGCGTTTCAACAACAGCACAGGACTGTTTTACTCTGCGGAGATTATTTGTGCAATAGAATATTTGCACTCCAAAGAAATCGTTTACAGAGACTTAAAGCCTGAAAATATATTATTAGATAAAGAAGGGCATATCAAGCTTACAGATTTTGGATTTGCTAAAAAGCTGGTGGATAGGTAAGACTTTTTAAAATCACACTTAAAAAGTAAAACATAATTAAGTTTGGGTGAGAAGTAATGTTTATTTTCAGTGCTCAATTTTTCATTCACTCTTAGTGTTGTTGACATCTGAGAGAACCACATTTACACCCTTAATACCAGGAGGAAAGTAATACTGAAACAAACTACTGTACAGTAGATAGTATTCAGCAACATTTATAGCAAATAGCTCCACTGTGGCTAAGGAATCGCTTTCTACAAAACATTGTGGATGTTCTTGTGCACTTGATATTTCAGTACATGCACTGCAAAATACCAAGTGACTCATGTGAAATGAGCAAACATTAATCTGTGAACATCAGTGTTAAAATGTGATATTACCCTTTCAGACTTAGAAGTAAAAGTTGTTTAACTTTTGAATGCATTATAATTGACTTTATTTTCTTGTTACCCTTACATTTTGAGGGACTTTTTGAAAGTGGAGGGGAGAGAGGGCATTTCAATTTGGATTAAAGAAAATTTGGTAATTATTGAAATACAATTACGAAAAAACTAGACTGAAGACATAAGGACATTTTCATTGAAAAACCTTATGGCCCATACCATCTCTCCTGTAGATATGCTGCTGTATATATTTTATGTGAAACACATCTATTGCCTTTCTCTGGTAGAAAGGGGTATCAGTTTGCTGATCATTTAAGGGTGAAGTCTGAATAGTGTAACTTGTATCTCTTGGCCTATCCATAAACATTGGAAACATGCTAATAGGCACAGTGTAAGAGAATATATTTAGGTGGTATTTGGTAGGAAAGGGAAGGGTTGCTATTAGCCATGTGAGGATGAATTTAAGAAGGAACAACTTAAGCTGAATATTAGAGAAAAATCCCTGACAATGAGGACTCTGGCCTGCAGGGTAAGGGGAACCCCATTTGATTGGGACGCTAAAAACTAGACTGGATCATATACTAAAGCTAACAATATTTCATTGACAGACACAAACTTGATGAGGGATTATGCTGATCTCTTCGATCACTTTTGTTCTACTTTAGCATATGTGGGAATTTTACAAGGGGGACCCAAATGGATGTGGCTCAGCTGTAGCTACCCTAACATACACCTTAAAGTGCCAAAAACAGAGCATGGCAGGCTGAATCATAACAGCAAGGTCACTTGGGAAACAAACTTTTGCTTGCATCTTTCCAATCCTGTGCTGGCTAAAGATGATGCTGGTTAGGCATAACAAAGCACCAGCCAACTGAGGTTATTTATAAAAGATTCTTCCAACTCTTGTGAACACCTGAAACACATTGAGGCTAAAGATCAGTTGAAAAACGCAATGATCAAATATGTATTTGATTCTGTCCTAATTCAGTTAATGCTGGGCATATATGGAATCTAGTAGCTCTTGTTTTTAAAATATGAATGAATCTCATGTGTTGAGGTTGTCCTGTAATAGTAAAGGTTCTTGAACATTGGAGGTCAGGTTTGTGATAAAGTGAGGTTAATTTTAATTTCTGAGCACGACATTTAACTGGATTGTCTGGATTTGCTTTACATTAATAATATAGAAATGATTGCTCCTCCCCTGCCTGAATAAATTTAATTTATTCATTGTTTTGAATGAAAGATCTTTCTTGTCTTTAATGGCAGTCTTAATAGACAATTATGGAGACAGTTCCTGATTTACACAAGTGATTATAACCCAGTGGCAGTTCTTACTTCAGAAATTCATAAAACTCCAATTCACTGAATTCTGCCGACTAACAAGAAACAAACCTTTATTGCATGTAGTAAATTAGTGGGTCTCATTATGTATTTGTATTTGCACTAATTCCCATGATTTTGTTTTTAAATGTAGATACTGCCACTTAGTGGCTGATCTAAATTTGGTGTTTGGTGTGGTTAAGTATAATGGGTATAACTCAGCATCAGCGGTGTGATTGAACAATATACTTCGATTTTAGCAATTTAAAATCCAGAACAAAGGGAAAGTGGGTTAATTTGAATATATTCTGTAATATTATACTGTAATATCTCTCCTGTATTTTGTATACTGTTTACATATTCTCTCCTATTTCAGAAAAGTAGTTGATAAGATTATAGTCTGGCACTTTGCATTAGGTTTGACTTGAGTATGGTAGAGTGGTGTGTAATTTATAGCTACTCCAACTGTAAAAGAGATGAGGAGAGTAATACAAAGTACGCTGTTCAGCAATGGGGGTGGTATTTACCAGCCATAAATGTAGTTTATCAAACCCATGCTGCTAGTTTTAATCTTTTCTAGTGGTTAAACATTATTCTCCCTTCATATTATTGTGAATTTAAAATTACTATTTTTTTTTTTTTTAAACTATATATCGGGGTAAGCTAACTACAGCCCGCAGGCTGGACTCAGGCTGTCAGGGCTATGGATCCGGCCGCAGGATTGCCAGCCCTGAGCCGCTCCCGGAAGCGGCCGGCACTGCGGCTGCCCTCACCTGCAGGCACCGCCCCGCACAGCTCCCATTGGCCGGGAACAGGGAACTGCGGACAATGGGAGCTTCGGGGGAAGTACCCGCAGGCAAGGGCAGCATGTGGAGCCCTCTGCCCCCCTCCCCCACCTGAGCCACAGGGACGTGGTGCAGGCCGCTTCCGGGAGCGGCGCGGGGCCCGGGCAGGCAGGGAGCCTACCTTAGCCATGCTGCACACCACTGCCACCCCAGAGCCGCTCAAGGTAAGTGGTACGGGGCTGGAGTCCGCACCCCGAACCTCTCCAGCCCCCCAAGCCCCTGCCCTGAGCCACCTCCTGCCCCCAACCTCCTGCCCTGAGGCCCCTCCTGCACACCGCACCCCTCCCACAGCCCCACTTCCTCCTGCACCCCAACCCCCTGCCCTGAGCCCCCTGCTGCACCTCATCCCCCTGCCCCAGCCCTATATTCATGGCCCTCCTTGCAATTTCCTCACCCAGATGTGGCCCTCGGACCAAAAAGTTTGCCCACCCCTGCTATATATTATTGTGCATCTATAAAAACAGAGCGATGGTGTAACAATTGATTGCAGAGAAGTAGTGGCTTTATAGCTATAATGTACTATGTATTATTGTGCATCTATAAAAAGGGAGAGCGCTCCTAATACAATTATTACAGAGAAGTAGTGGCTATATATCTATAATTATGTTTTAAATTTATAGAGCACTTACCTCAAGGTAGGAGCTGTACAAAAATATAAATACAACAAATCAAAACTCTGAAAACTAACACAGTGCTACAAAGAAACTGCCCAGGCCAGGTTATACATCAAAGCAGAAGTAACCCAAGATTATCTGTGTTGTTTCTCTCCTCCCTCAGAAAGGAATTAAATAGAATTATACTATTCCTAGTGCTTGTAACTTGGCCTTTAGATTATTCTATTACTTAAATTGACATCTTCCTAAGGATTAGAATGCCCTATAAAACATGACAAGCTTGTGTATAAGTGGTTCACACTTCATAATTTTTGCATGTACAGAATTATTCCCTTTCAAAAATGGCAAAATTGTCAATTTATTGACATTTCCTCTTAAATGCCTGAAGTAAATTGTTGTCAAAGTATTCTAAAGAAGGAGTAATTCAAAATAATGGTTCAGGAGGGTATCGTTTTAACGTGAAATGTGCCTGATTTCTCACTTTTCTGTTCCCTTTAGTTTATGGGTTATTTTATTTTATTTTTTTCGTCATTCCTACCTTTGGCCGATTTAGTTGGCTGTCACAGGCCAGATACATGTGCAGCATACAGAAGATGAGTGAGCCCACACAGAGTTCCCCACCCTGCCTTGGTCTAAACAGTTGCAGTTGCTGTATTCAAATGAGCCCAAGAGGTGCTGCTTTGATAAACCCAAAAGGTGGAGAATGTCATCCCAGGCAAGAAGACATGAGCCAGGTTAAACCCTCCCAAATCCTCTCACTGATTGTCTGGTCACAATGTTTAAGTTTCTCCGTTCTCCGTGATTGTGCAGTCTGCACAGTCCTTCCTGTATGCATAGCTTCTCGGGTCTACCTGAGCTTTCCATGGAGCGAGGCAGCCTCATGCTACACTTTTGCCCTAAGACAGCAATTTTTCAGTCTGTGAATGATAAGGTGGTGGTTTCTGGCAGGTAAGTTTTTCTTTAGTTATCTCTTCTCTCCTGCCTCTTTTCTCCAACCCTTCTTAGAAAACAAGAAGCTATCTCTTCTCTGCTTCTCTTACGTTGACTTGTCCCCTTTTCTTCCTTCTCTGTCACTCAGCTGTTTTCTTCCAGTTTTCCACTTCATGTCGGTGGCTTCCTCCAAAGTAGTGTGTCCTCACTTCACTTCCTGATTTTCTATCTTTTCACTCTTGTTCTCTCAGCCAGGACTAAACATACTTTTGAGCCCAAGTGCCTAAACATCAAGAGGCATGCGATTAGGAATATATATTGCATTTGAGGTAATTGGAAGAGTGGGAAAATGGGAGGAGATAAAAGGAGAAAAGAGAAGCATCAGCAATAGCCTGAAGAAGAGAATGAGCATATAAAAGTACTATATTGGTTTTACATTTCATTCATTTGTGGTTTTCAGTGGACACAACACCTATTTTAAGCTATTACTTCTATAAACCATTTTCCTATTTCTCTTGCTGTCTCACTCCTTTCTGTATTGCTCTCCCTCAGATGCCTTCACTGAAAACATGGAGAAAATGACCTTACGTTTTGGAAAAGACTGCTAGTACTCCATCCAATGCAGGGTTTCACTCAAGATTTTAGAAAATGGCTTTGGGGCAAGCCATCACAATGTTTCAAGGTGTAGGGAAATTTTTACGTGGTTGAAATTTTAGATAATTGAACTATTTGTTTCCTTCTAGTATTTTAACCTAAGTTAAAGGTGAGGAAAGCTTTCAGGGAAGTCAAGGTACTTCAGTTACTGTGGTAAAGTCAGCATCATTAAAGTTTTTTGGAGTATTCTTGCTCCAGCACAAAAGATGTTTAATTGTCCTAAGCCACAACTGGCCCATAGAATGTGATTTATTTGAGCAGACCTTTTGTA